GTTACCATCTCTGCAGGACGAGTTTACAACTGGATGTTTTGCCAGTGCAAGTGCAGTTGCCTTTGCTAGGAGTGCCGTCATGGTCACTCCTTTGGACTTTATCTGAACCAACCAAACAAAAGAATATTAAAGAAATCAATATACAAACATACAGTGTGCTACCAGTGTGTGGTTCTGATGCAAATCTTAAGATACTATCATGTATACTTCAAATTAGCTCTCTCTCATAATCTCATTCTCTGATTATAACCATTTTCCAACATTATATGCAACTGGAACATCACTACACATTAAACTTGGACAAACAGAGACACTTAAATCAGCGTAAAGTGATTCCATGGGTTCCTTATCGATCAAATGGCGTTGTTACTTAAGCAGCTAAGTAACAAAAGTGCTTAAGCTCCAATCTTCTTAAATTTTTCCATCATCTCAAGTTCAAACTTCTCCATAACTTTATACCATACCCATCAACTAACTAGTTTTTTATAATCTATTTGCAATCAATATCAATGGAAGCTCTAATCTTTCTACCATCAAGGCCAACCAAAGTTCCAAACTTTCAGAGGTTAATTCGAATCTCACCTTCTTGTAGAGAGCATCAAGAGCATCCGTGGTGATTGTGTATCCGACCCTAAAAGTCGGAACGGCCAGACTCTGGACCATATTCCGGCTCACAGCGCCCTGCATTGTCGTGAATGGAACCACCGATCCAAGCTCTACACCAGGAGCCGCAACGGATACCTCCGTTTTAACAGCTGGAGCAGGTTGAACTCCTCCTCCGGTAGCCGCCTCAACATCTTTAGCCACAATCCTTCCCATTGGTCCACTTCCAGCTAAACCAGCCAATTCCACCTTCAATTCCTTCGCTAGCTTCTTAGCGTAAGGAGAAGCCACAATCCTCTTCCCTCCTTCAGACGCCGGATGCACAGCAGACGCAACCGCGATCGCCGCCGGAACAGAAACCTTCTTCTCAACCGCCGCAGGCGTTTCCGCAACGGATACAGAC